ATATATTACACAACTTTGGAACTATGACTGACTGGTGGAACTATCAAAGATGAAGATCAAAATGAATCTTTGTCTACTTGTTCAAAACTGAAAATAAAATAGGGTTTTATAAGCAAGAAATTATATTTAACTGCAGAAAATRTGTTTTCAGCTTCAGCATCCAAAAGCAAGGTAAGAACTAAATGAATTAAAAGTGAACACCTGCYTTTAAATTATTTAGCTTTTTTATACAAGAGCTTAACTAGTTACAAATCGGTCTATCCTATAATGACCTGGCACAACATGCTGTATGTACAAAAATGGATAATGAAAAAAAACCCTTTCAACTTTATTGAAAGGCTTTAATTTAAAAAAATAGGTGTGTTTATTTGACATAAATCTTTGATTTTCCTGAAAATATTTTCCTGGTTCTTCAAACTGATCCGTATCTGCAGAAGTTTAGGTGCCAAAGCATTGCCAAGTGCTACTTTAGCAGTCAGGCTGTAGACTTTGCGGAAGTCGAAGTCTCGCGATATTTGTGGACAGTCGTGGGATTTTGGAAATCAAGGGTTGTGGCTAAGGGGTAAGWGACCACATAAATTGATAGCGACTGTGTGCGAAGCTGTGGTATTAATACATTTGTAACACTAAAGCGTTCCTGTTTTTATGCAATGTATTTATTCCGAAATAAACGTGGACATATATTGGTTTTATACCAATATTGAGTCCTAATATGGCGACGGTGGTGATAACGCAGAGCTCAGTCTATTTCATCGAAGGAAACAGATTACCTCCTCATCTGTAATAACACCAGCTGTTAATTTGTCTTTTGTCTATAAATATCAACTAGACACCTGCAGTTTATAAAATATTTGTTAGAGGGTTCTCTGAACTGAAATATCTGAACGTTTTACATGAGAACATCGAGGTGTAAACAAAAAGCGCTCCTTATTTATAGGCTTTGTTTGTCCAAATTTTACGAGACCCTCTTAAAGCCAGTCATTTTTTATTTGTACATTATTGTCAGTTCTTAGATGTTTGCAGAAATATTTTTGTCGGGTTTTCTACATCAAGGACCAAAAGTTAAACCTGTAAACATTTATGTTTTTTATGTTTATGTTTATTTATGTTCCCTCTAAAATTGATAAACAACCGAGATTTTCTTTTATTATAGGGCAAAATAACTGGATTTTCTTAATATGAGTGATGACAAACCCTTCCAATGCACTGCTCCTGGGTGTGGACAGGTAAGTTATCAAAAGTTTCAGAACAATTGTATTTATTATTTTAAATGATTATTTTGAATTTGAAATTTTCACCTGTTCATTAAAAGAAATTTGTTACCACAATGTAAAATAAGCATCGTGATAGAAATGCTTTATTTTAATACATTTATAGTTTAAATACCTAAAATTTGGATTTATGCAGTTCCATGTATGTTATATGCAAATAAAAAAAACTTCTGAGCTGCGTTAAAAATTATTCAGATTCAAAATATGTTGCAAATCATGTGAACATTAGTACCAGTCACTGCAATAGTTACACTTTAAATCATTTGTCAGCTGAAATAATAAGTAGTATTTGGTTTTCAGTGGGAGATTTCTTGCTTACAATCCAAGMTTTCTTTCTCTCTAAGACTTAAAAAAGTCATCTGCAGTTGTGAAACAACCAGTAGTCACAGTTTTTTATTTAAAGTTATGGGCTATAACAAAGGCTTGTTTTAAAATCCAGATTGTATCAAACCTAAAATGTGAGCAAAAGGTTCCCAAATCATCTAACTGCCTTTTTGATAGAGTTTTTTTGTTATGTAGACTATTCTCACTGATGTAATCGGATTGGACATAATAAAAAAACCCTTGTTGGAGCATTAATTGTATTAAAAAAATGTCTCAGTAATGACTTATAAATATGGACTCCCAGTGTCTTGTCAGAAATTTATAAAACTTTTCAATGAGGTGAAACAGGTTCAACAAACAAACAAAACTAAATCCTCCTGTCACCTWTTAAAATAGCACTCCTAAGATTGCCATGTCCGTAATGACTGAGAATCTACACCAACAAATTAAAATAAAATCTACCAAGGAATAAGAACAGTAAAAAAAAAWATCATTTGTTGCACCTCGTGAAAGCTTTTGGTGTGAATTGTTTACAAAATCAACACGTTTAGATGATGAGGCATCATTTGTTTGTATTTTTGGTTTCTGAAATAGAGATTCACAAATGAAGATCACTTGGCTGTCCACAAACACAAACATGAGATGACACTAAAATTTGGCCCAGCAAGAAATGACAATAATATTATTGCTGGTAAGTGCTTTTCAGGGTGGGATTTGTTGATGACTCTTATTTTGTGCTATTTGACACATTTTATGTTCTGCTGCAGACCAAACTCCCACACCTACCCGCTTTTTGAAGAACTGTGAAGAAGTTGGGCTCTTCAATGAACTCGCGAGTCCTTTTGATCATGACTTCAAAAAAGCAGCTGAAGATGACATTAAAAAGGTCCTTGTTGTTAAACCTATCTGCTTATGGTATGATTTCTCTGGTCATTTGCTGAAGTGTTCCTCTGTTTTTGCTGCTCTGCAGTTACCTCTGGATTTGTCACCTCTTGCTACACCTATTATACGCAACAAAATAGAACCTGCAGCTATAGACGCACATAGAGATAGCCCTCTGCCTCACCCCGAGTCGACTACAAATGATGACAAGGTATGCTCATTAGACAAGCTGTTTTTTAGTGACATGTTATGACGGATTTTTTGTCTGTTTCTGTAAATATTAAATTACTCTTGAATTTGCAGATTTGCTTCACTTTCCATTTGAGGTCAATTTGATTTAATTTAGGATTTACTTCTGAAGCTATGTATGTGTCTGATTGTGCTGTGGAAACATTAGTAGTGCTATCATTTCAGAGGTAAATAAATACATGATCGTGTCGATGGAGCCCTCCTGCAGCTAAGGTTTTGTATAATGTTTTCAGGACTTATCTTTGCAGCCAGCCTCACTACCAACATCCACTATAGTCCATCCTGCATCMCTTCAAGTTCCCAATGTACTTCTAGCAACCACAGAGGCTAATGTTGTAATACAGCAAGCTCTCCCATCGCCAACATCTAGCTCTGTTATTACCCAAGTCCCATCCACTAATAGACCTATAGTGTAAGTAACTGAATTTAAAAAGATTAAAAAATATATATAGTTATGATGTTGTGGTTTCTTTTTTTTAATCGTTTTGTGCAGTTTCGTTGTAATAAGCTTGTACTTTTTAAGGCATGTGCTTGCTTGTTTTTTTTTTTTGTTTGTTTGTTTATTCTTGGTCTGTAGGAAGTTTATTTTAAGTTGCATACAACATWTGCTCTATTATTTATAAAAACAATCATTGTTGCTCAAAATATACAAYGTTGACAACTAATCTTAACCCAAAAAACTTCAAAAATTAAACTGTTAGTACAGACAAAAAACTTTTTTCTACAAGTGAATCTTACTGATATAATGAGCTGAATGTTGAAACAAAATACTGTGAAAAAAAACAACTGATTGTCACACCCAAACTCGTGCTATTTTAAATTTCAACAAATATTTTTTGGCACCTTCATAGCATTCATGTAATATAACTGAACCCAAAGAAGTTCTGCCCTCATTCCCATCACTTCTTCACCTTTTCTTTAAGTTCCTAAATAGTGCTGCTTAAATTGGAGAAATACTAGAAATATTTAATGCAGTACACTTTGAAATACACTGAAACTGTTTTGCAACAGAGGTRCAGCACTGTATGAGCAACACTGATGTCACTTTCCAGGTCTCATGTGACAGGCGAGGTTTGTTGTCACATTGTTTTGATATGTCCAATATCTGTTTTTCTTTTGTTTGTTTGTGTTTTTTAAAGGTTACTGTATTTGTTTAAATATTTATCTCCATCGCTTGTCATCTAAATATGACATGATGATAGTATTCATGTCATTGCTTTGTCTTTAATTGTCACCGTTTTGAGGAATTATTCCAGATTTGTGATCATAATCACAGTTTGTTTTTATTYCTCTTTCAGCCCGGTGTCTGGCACCTTCCCTGTGCTCTTACAGTTGCCTAATGGCCAGACCATGCCTGTGGCTATACCTGCGTCTATTACAAGCTCCAGTGTACATATTCCAGCTACAATCCCTGTGAGTGTTCTCCTCAAAAGGTTTTCTCAGTCGTATGTTTCTTAGTGTTAGACTTGACATAAAAATATTTTGCTGTGTTTGAATGTAGCTATTTTAGAGCTTTCTATTTGTCTGGGTTTTGTGCAATACACCCAGTAAGTTTCTTTAAAATAAGCGTCTGACATTAATAACAATATGATTATTATTATTTTTTTAAATGTCCTAATGTCATCTTTAATTTAGTAGATATTATGAGCGCCTCACACAGTCTTCTCAAGAAGCTTTATTTTGTCCATTTGCTGACACTGATTTTCAAAGAAAAGAAATAAATAATTGTTCATTTCAAARCTGAAGCATATGTTAAGTTTTGCACATCAGTAAAAAAAAGTTAACTGTTCCTTGCCCTGGTTAAAAAGGAGGAGAAATGGGTAATATTTACTTCCTTGATTTTTTTAATTTCAAGAAGTGCAAAAACAGGCTTGCAAAAACAACTGTGGCAAAGACGGGATTGGGTTTCTTGGCAGCAGGACTCTGGCCAGAATTATTTACTCGTACAATAAGAAATAGTTGCAAAAATCTCCATTATAGAGTACACTCAAAAAAAGATATAATGGATTTAATAAAAAAAGTCAGCTGAACTGAACTTAGTAAAGGTAATGCATTTATGTTATCAAAAAAATTACAAGTTATCAAACTTATCAAACAGAAAAAATAAGTAGGTCTCCTGGATGGGTTCTTCTTTAATGAAATGTTTYGTCWCTCCTCCGAGAGACTTATTCAGTCTGAGGAGTTTCAGGTGAACTCAGTCTTATAAGCACTGTCTCTGTATGGTGGACAAACAGGTTGGTCACATGCAAAAGAGGACCATCAACCAAACAGTAGGTSATTAGTGCCTTGATTGGCTCTATTGTTCAACTTGTGTTCACTGGAACACAAATTAGGAGTCATCAGAACTCTGTACCACAGAGCAGACAGGGTCCCCACAAACCCAGGAGCCAGGSAGAAAGAGAARTCACACACAAGACAGGCCCTGGAGCAGTGCGGTTATCCTCACTGGGCTTTCCTGAAAGCAGACAAGAAACCCTAACAGGATTCCAGCCAACAACCAGATGAAACTGAAGACCCCAAATTAGGACTGCACGGTATATGCATTAGACAATAGAAACAATATGAAGTTGTTGAGTTTTTGCCTCAGCGACCACCCGAGCCCCAATCCGCTTGGACTGCCGATACCTATCGGCTGCTTCTGGAGTCCCACAGGCCAAAAAGACCTGATAGGTCTCCTTCTTCAGCCTGACAGCATCCCTCTCCGCCGGTGTCCACCAGCAGGTTTGAGGGTTGCCACCATGACAGGCACCGACAACCTTACGGCCACAGCTCAGGTAAGCCGCCTCCACAATGGAGGCACGGAACATGGCCCCTATGTCCCCCACCTCCCCCGGAGTGTGTTCGAAGTTCCCCCTGAGGTGTGAGTTGAAACTCTGCCTGACGGGAGACTCTGACAGACGTTCCCAGCAGACCCTCACTATACGTTTGGGTCTGCCAGGTTTTTTTATGTCTAAGTTAGAAATTTTACTTGAATTACTGGTTATGCCATCCACTTTATTTTGATATTGTTGAAATTTTGAGAAATGGTTCTGTTTGAAACTATTTTTCAATATATGTAAAACATTCTTCTGTACTTCTGTTATGTTCATTACAGCAAAAACACTGGCTTTGATTATGATTACAGTTTTCTGCAAAATAAATGTTCTAAAATGACATTATCTTTGCTTTTTATGATAATTTCCTACCGTAATATATACCGTTACCATGAAGGGATCTAATTTATACCGTGATATGAATTTGAGGTCACACCGTCCAGCCCTACCCCAAACCCAGACCCAAACCAGTCGTCATTCCATATGTGGCGGGAATTTCAGAGAAACTGAGACGTTAATTCTCTAAGCATGACGTCCCAGTGGCTTTCAAACCCTAAAAAACATTACGACAAAGATTGATTCACCCCAAAGATCCAGTTCCCCAGTACAGAGTAATGTAGTATATGCTGTTAATGGTCAGGAGGACAGTGATCAGTTATACATCAGGGAGACAAAGCAGCCACTGTTCAAAAAAAATGAGCCAGCACAGACAAGCAACATCATCAGGCCAGAACTCTGCAGTTAACACTCATCTACAGGCCAGGTCTCTGCAGTTTACACTCATCTACAGGCCAGGTCTCTGCAGTTTACACTCATCTACAGGCCAGTGCTCTTTCAGGGATGAAGATTTTATCATCCTTGATAGAGAGGAATGTTGGTTTGAGAGAGGAGTAAAGCAAGCCATTTTTGTGAAGAAAAAACATCCACCATTAAACAGAGGTGGAGGCCTTCGTGTCCAGTTGTCCCCCTCCTGCAATGCTGCTGTTACAGGTATGACTCCGCCCCCTGTGAGCAAAAAGTGTGAATCAGGACCCCAATGATAGTCAGGTGATGGACCACATGACCCTCTATGAACAATAGAACCAATCAAGTCACTAACGACCTATTGTTTGGCTGATGGTCCTCTTTTGCATGTGACCAACCTGTTTGTCCACCATGTGGAGGCAGTGCTTATAAGGCTGAGTTCACCTGAAACTCCTCAGACTGAAGAAGTCTCTTGGAGKAGAGATGAAACGTTTCATTAAAGAAGAACCCATCCAGAGGACCTACTTATTTTTCTATTTGATTTTTCTACCTGGATTACTGAGATGCATCAGGACATTTATTCAGTTCATTTGTGTGGAACCAGTTGACTTTTTTTAAGTACATCTGTTATTTTTTTTTTTTTTTTTTTTAGTGTGGGTAGAATACACGTCTTATAACACTTGTAAGTGCCTCATACAGAAAACTGACATAAATTAAGGTGCATTTGTTATTTTTTAAACTCGTCTCATTGCACACTAGTTCTGTTTGTCTATGTGGGACCCTAAACAGAAGATGAATAGCTCCTGATATCGGCTCACTGCAACAAAAACCTTCAATCTCCAGTCTTTTGGGACAAGGAGAACCTTTAACAAGTAAGGGAGGACTGAAGAAGATTAAAAACATTAGCCACCAGTGGGTTTCCCCTTCCCTTGATCATCTCTTCCTCTTCTACGCACCCCTCCTCCCTGTCTGTCTTGTTGTCAGTGGCTGAGAGGAGAGGCCTAAATCTGGCCTTTGGACTCATGTCTCTCCATCCTCTCCTCAGCTTCCCTGTCCATATGCTCTCACTCAGCCAAGCAGAGGTTCATTAGCGTGCACACTGCATCTCCATGTGGCGCTGCCTCCGCAAAATAACAGGCTATCCAACCTAATGAGGCTGAGATATGGGGAAAATTATGAAAGCCTGCCATAGCTGTTTATGTTGTGGGGTGAGGGGTGGGGTAGTGAAGCTTGCCTCTTTTTATGGCTGAAGACTAATTTTCTGTGGTGTGATCTGCGTCTGTGTCTCTCTTGTCAGCTTGTCAGACCCGTCACCGTAGTGCCTACCGTCCCTGGAATCCCCGGACCCCCCTCGCCACAACCTCAGCCCATCCAAACAGAAGCAAAGCTGGTATTTATTATCTTATTTACATCAAGTGTCATTTCCATGTTGTGTCTGTTACATTTCAACTGAAGGAGATGATGACGACTAAGGTAATGAGAGGGTTTGGCGAGAGGATCATTTTCCCCCTCTTTCAATAATAACATTTCTGCAATGAATGTAGTCTAATGTCAATTTTATAAAAATCAGTCAAAAATCAACATTAGTCCTATAAATTGGATAAAACTAGTAATAAACCCATTTCATGGCCGCTGACACAAATTGGGCTAATGTTTAGCTTGAATGGCTTTTTCTGCTGTCAAACACTTTTTTATTGCTCAAGTAATTTTATAATTGGCATGGCATTACAGACAGACACACAAGCATGTATTTAATATAGCAATATTTTTTATTATAAATAAGGAAACTGTGAGGTACAGTGACCTAACATTTGGAAATGTATATCTCTAAACATGTCTAGTTTGACATAGACAACAAAGGTAAAGTGGTTGAAATAACAGATAAGATACAAAGCAAAAGTCTTTTCTTTCTTTCTCTGTATCAAAAAACCAAAATTGTTGAGTCTTTATTAAAAAAATTCTTTATTTTCTTTGAAAACCAGTTGGCATCTGGGCAAATTTTGAATTATTTTACACCTTATGTAGCATTTGTCTCAAAGCTAGCACCAAGGTAACAACAGTTAGCTTTGCAAATTACATTTGTAAAAACATTCTTTCAAAATAATTTTGATTGTGCAAACACTTTTTGTTAGATTTCTTGTAACAGAGCAAGAGAGCTCTGTAATTAGTGCTAATTTAGTTTAAATACAATAGTTTTTTTGCAATCGGTGTGTTATTAAAAGTGCAGGTTTGGATGTTCAGATACGAGTATGGGTAAGAAATTGGCATTGACTACAGAAGTTGTGCCAGAAACATGTCTGCATACGACTCTGCAGGGCGAGCAGGGTCACAGCAGTCATGTTGTCCTGTATTAAAAGTGATAGTTGGGGGGCAGAGATATGAAGTGGTGTGAGGGGGATCAGTGGCAAGGTGATGAAGCACGGATCACAGAACCCGTAAGTGTTCGCAGCATGCTCTGCCTGTAGAAATTATCGGCTAAACAGCAACGATGTGGGTTTGTGTATTGGAAGGCAAAGGATTGATCCTGAGTAGCGGGGAGAGGGGACGGGAGGGGCAGGGAGTTGTTGAAGATCATGGGGTGCAGAGATGACAAACGCAGTGACAGCGTTGTGCTCAGCACGCCGTCACCAGGGCCAACCTGAGGGGAGGGAGCGGGGGCAACCAATGAAAACCAGCTGGGTGCATCCTGGCAAACGCTCAGCGAGGCACTTTAAGTCAGCCTCACCCTGCATGAAACCTTTTGTTCAGCAGAATCTTGCCTGACCTGCAAACCCACCCCCCCCACCCCACCCCCTCTCAGCACCTCCCACCGCACTCAGTTCATCAGCAAACACCTAATGAGCCTGCATCAAGAAAACAGACCAGCCCAACCTGCCCGCTCCCCACCCCCACCTGGCTCTCATGGGGGGTGGCGGCGTAGACGGCACTTTACAAGGACTGATGATGCTGCAAAGACCACAATAATGATAATTAACTTGCTGAATTTAGAAGATTATGCTGTTAATTAGTTGCAAAATAAAGATAAGTAATATAGTAGCAGATGGTTGAAAAACACCCATGAGATGGAGGGTTATTACACTGATGAGGTTTCCATRGCAGAGATGAAATATGAATCTGACTGGCTTTTCCCTCATTCTGTGGACCATTCCAAGAGAATAATATCTTGTTTCTGCCAGAAGAGCTTCTGGAAGGGTATTACACGATAAACTAATTTGGTAGATAGATTGGTCTGGCAAAGGTAGCTGTTAGAATAATGCGGCCCTCTGTTTTCTCATGTAAATGTATTCTCTCTCACTTTGTTACTGTTGGAGAGGCTCATTCACTTTCACCTTGTTTGTTTAAGGTTTGATGCCAGAGGAATTGACCTGTAAATCTTGCACACCAGGCTGTGGAGAGGTAGTTTCTCTGAATAGGGGGTGTTTTTGTGTTAAATGATCAGTGCAAGTGTTGCAAAAACGGCTTTTTATCTTTAAACACTTGATTCACAGCATGTGCTCTTCGTTTGTACACAGATCTGACGACAGCATGTGCAAACTAAAAGAGAGGAGTCATTTTCTCGAAATGACTTTATTACAATTGTGGCAAAAATGCAGAACAACCTCTTTCAGTTTTTACTTATCAAAAAGTGAACAATCGGTGGTCTGTAGAGTCACTGCTGCAATAACTAGGAGTAATTGCATTCTGTTTGGCCGTATGTGTCTCTAACACTGTTGTGGAGCAACAACTGTTCTTTACAATCTTGCTTTAGTTCATTGAGCTTTGTTGGCACAGCTTTCTTAAGGTCCCACTACTGCATTACAAGTGAATTCAGTGTTTAGACTTTTACTAGACAGTCTTCATATTATACTGATTCTTTCCTTTTTGAGCCATTCTTCTGAGATTTTGCTGATGCTTCTTGGAAATATTCCCAGAAACAATTTGGATCAAATTTACTAATAATTAGTTGATTGAGTTTGATTATCAAAACCAATGTACTTGGTTGTTTTTATTTATTTTTTTTTTTTACTGTTTTTGCATTTTGGTTATCGCAAAATCACCTTTTATTAGACAAAATCCCAACATTGGGTTCAAAATTCATTGGACGGTTCTTGCTTGTTTACTTAGTTAATAATTGTTTACATCTTTTTCAGAAATCCAAGTTAAAAAGTTGCAACTTTTCATTCAGTAAAGTGATAGAGAATTTAAAAGTGCAACAGTGACTGGTGGTGGATACTGTCACCAAACTAAAACCACCTCCTATAGGGAAGCATGGTGGTGGCAGCATTATCCTAAAGTACTTCTTAGTAGCAGATAGAGACCCTGTCAGAGTTTTGTGAAAGATGAATGCTGTCAAGAAGGATTAAAGGTGTGATCAATTGAAAAAATAACATTTAGCAAGATAAATTAAATAATACAGTTCAGATGTTTTCTATCAGTCTGATCTAACTTGAGAAAAAAAAAAACTGAAAAAATGTCCCCAAGTCTGTGTGCAAAGTTTGTAGAGATTTAACTAAAGACACAACTGCTTAAGACCTTTTCTGAAATGTGGGATCATTATTATTGTTTTTTTTTCTTTTTTTTTATTTATTCATTGATTAAACTCCTAGGACCTGGCACCACATATGTGGACTGTTAAGTTGAAATATTGTTAAAAAAATGATCCAATCTGTTTTGTAATCTTTAAAGAAAGAGTGGAGATTAAGTTGTATGTAACCCACTGTGCATGTGTCGTTTGAGAGGAATGGGGTAGGTGGGGGAACTCGGTTGAGAGAGGGAAAAAGTGTACAATGTGTAAAGTTTGTTGGTCATGTTGATGGCGACAATTTAAACGGGATTCTAAGAAAGAAAGAAAAAAAACTGCTAACTCAATAATCAAATTATCGTACTGTATATACTCAGGATCAGTCCTTCATCCATAGACTTAAACACACTGAACAATTTTTCTCTACTGCCTCCTGCCACTTTCCCCATTCCTCTCAACCGACACATGTGCAGTGGGTTACATACTACTTAACATGGACAAAAATGCATTGCAATGCAAGAGTTCAGAAAACAAACAAAAGAAAATATGAATACAATAAAAAAACAAAGCACAAGTCATAAATGACATAGGAAATTATTACATCTGGCCATTTTTTCCCCAAAATAAATTCAAAATACTCAAACTTTTAAATAAAAATAAAAACAGCACTAGGTCCTTCCCATTTTGTTTGAACAATAGTTTTTGTCATATATACTAGGTAGTATCATGTTTTTTTCAATAAACTAGCTTTTGTCATTTTTTTAACATATAATTTTTTCTAGAAGTTTTAACGTCAATATCAAGATTCAAGGAATACCTTGAACTGAAGTATGTTGTTCCTTCAAACTAGTTTGAAATTCTCACCTTTTTGTTTAATCTTTTTTTTTTTTTTTTGCTATTTCCTGTTTTTGTTTATTAATTATTATTTCATGCAGTTGTCTTTGTGACAAATTCTGTTTCCAGAAACTCAAAGCCACGATAAGCCAGCAGCTTCCTCAGGTAACCAATGGAGATGGCATTGAAGTCCAAAGCAGTGCTGTAACCCACACTGCTAATCCCGCTTCTCCAGCCCCGACCCCGACTCCAGCCCCAGCTGTGATCCTAACTGCGGCTCCTCAACTGCCTACAACTGAGGAAACCTCCACACATTCCCTTCAGCAGCCAGCCACCTCCACCACAGAAACACCTGTAAGTATTTACTGTATGTCCACACTGCTTTTTTTTATCAAGGTCAGAATGCTACAATATAGAAAACTGACATAATGTTTTGTTCAAATGTACTTTTGAAATCCAGGGTTTGTTTTTCATTGTTTCCTCTACAATATTTGTATTTGTCTGTTTCTAATATTTAGTTTTGTAAAGCTTTGTTTTGGTTGTTGGTTTTATATGTGTTTGTTTTTCAGTTTCCCCATGTTTCACCTTTCATTAGTTCAGCTCCTGCCCCTCCCAGTCGTGCCCTCTCCTCGTTCTCCTCCACAGTCGTTGGTCATTCCCCTTATCAATATTGTTTCTTTTAAACCTTGTCATTTTGTCTTGTGTCTTACTGGTGCGTTATGCATTCCTGCAAAGCCTGTCTGTGTTTGCCCCTGCCTTTTGGCTTTTAAGGCACTGTGCAAAGTTTTTGGATCTGGTGGCCACCTCCATTGATGTGTGTGAGTGGTATCGGCAGTTGGTGAGCTACTGAAGAAGAGGTCTCTCCACCCCAGGTTGAAGTTTTTCCCAGGAGTGGGAGATATCCTCAAGAGGGCTCGAAGGGAGAGGATCATAGGTAGAACTCCATTTCCCTGTTTCTGGTGGGCATCGTTCTCTGCTGTACCCACCTTCACAGTGACACATTCAGAGAGCCCTCCTCAGCCCACGAAGTAGATCTTTGTGTCTGAGGATTATGAGCAACTGGGGTCCYGTGCTCCAAGGTCCTGCCCACCTTCATGTATCTCCATGGGGGTCGGTGAATATGATGCACCACCTTCGTGTGTCCTGGGATTCAGACCAGATGTCCCACATGCTGCTGCAGCTTGAAGTCTCAAGCCCCTGGTGAGCCCCAAGCTTCTCCTGAGTCCTCATCTATGGCAATGCCCTCCTGTGGTCTCTATGCCTGCTGCAACTCCCCCTCTGGTGGTCTCTAYGTCAGCTGCAACTCCTCTTCAATCCTTGGTTCCTAAGTCATCAGTTCCTGTGTTCGTCTGCAGCAAAGTCTCCGGATTCCTGGTCTGATCCATCGTCTGCTCCTGAGTCTCCTGGTCTTGTTGTTGAGTTTCTTGTGTCTATGCCTGCACCAGAGCCTCTTAATCCATCATTAATTTTATCATCATTTAACCTTAATCCGTCATCATTCTTTTATTTCTTTTTACCCCCTCCACCCACCCAAGTCAGAGGTTGTTTTGGAACATCTGGGGCCGTTCTTTAAGGGAGGGGTACTGTAAGCATCTGTGGGTTTTGGTTGATAGGTTTTGTATGTGTTTGGTTTTCAGTTTCCCCATGTTCTCACTTTCATTAGTTCAGCTCATGCTCTCGCACTCATCCCTGCTCCTTGTTCTACTCCACAGGTGTTGGTCACTCCCCTCATCAGTATAGTTTCTTAAAAATTTTGTCTCTTAGTCTTGTGTCTCACTGGTGCATTATGCTCTCCCGCAAAGCCTGTCTGTTTGCCCCTGCCCCGAGTGTTTGTTAAAGTATTGACAGTGTATTTCTTGGAAGTTTTTCTGATAAGAGTTTTTGCTGCCACATCAGCCCTTTTGTTCTCTCTTTTTGAAAATAAATTAATTTTATTTTACTTTTATCTTTGCATCTGGTTTTGCATTTGGGTTCAATCTTGCACCAGCAAACATTATAAGTTTGGCATTTTAAGGCCTTATCGCACTATAAAGACAACTTATGCCAACTTTAAAAATATTATGAATAAAGGTTGCATATTCAATCTAATTGTTAACATTACTCTAGGTTCAGACCGAACGCATTTTGAGCGTCAGGAGCATCAGGTTTACATGCAAAGTTTATGGACGYACGTCTAGGGGTGTCGAGAAGCCTTGCGGCACATTTAGCGTGGCTCGTTTCAAAGTGGTAGGTGTAGTTTGAGCATTTGATGTTCGTCCAAAGCAGCTGACACCGGAGTCTGAAAATCTGAAGTTTTGCTGCTCGACRCGGCACRTCAACCAATCAGAGAGACTCTGCCATGTGAYGTAGCGGTGCATTTTCCAAAGGGACAGTCTCCTGAATAATTTCCACTAACCTGAGACAGATTGACAAGGAGCTCTTTAGCTGTAATCAAGTGCCTGTAGTTGTTGTCCTGGCAGGAGATGTGGAGCCGATGCGGGTCAGCATCTCGTCAAATTGGACTTGGGACAAAAATAGTTCTGGAAGCGAGCCTCGTCAGTGCGCTGCTCCTGAAGTGTTGAAACTCACCACACTCAGAACGTCTCTGAATTATCTGGTGAATTAATAATAAAATGAGCGTGATGTTCTCTTGCTCTCAGTAAATAAAGCAAAGCCACTTCCTTTATTTTATCTGCCGTTGTACAGAGGCCGCCAGAGWAAAACAACCAAGAGCCTAAGCCGGATGCACGTCTAGAGAAATTTTGATGAGCGTCTTTGATCTTAAAGTGCACAAGCGTCCAACTTGAAGCAWTGGATGCGTTTTTGATGCTGAAAATGCATTTGGTGTGAACCTCGCCCAAATGGGCTTCTTTTTTCATTMCATTTTGAACATGAACATTTTTAGTGTTGGACAAAATTTTAWAAGTTGGCATATGYTGTCTAAAWTGTTGATATTTGACAGGACCTTTAGCCAAGCTGGTTCACTTAAATAAATAATTTATAGAATTTGGCCATCTTTGTTTTAAATTTATAATTTACATATGTGAAGAGTGTTTGTCCCGGTCCTTGTTTAACTGTCTTCGTTTTAATMCAAGTAGCTCTTCAGACCTTTGTTCTGTAATGCTAAAGTTTTCTGACTAGCATCCATTAACCATTATATAGAATAGCTTGTACCTGCCTGTAAACGTTGTGTAAAACACATTGTATTACTGAGGTTTTTACAAAATGTTATTTAAGTTAAATATTTGTTTAAATTGAAACAGAAATAAATRTATTTTAGTGACTCCTCCCCTTCCCTTAATATCAGCAGTTCAAAACTRTTGTGATAATTTTGCTCATCAAGTTATTGGCCTATATTGTTTTTATTGTCACTTTTGTTGTTATTAAATAGGCTTCCCCAGTKCCACCTGTACCAAACCCTCCAAGCACAGGGGGTCGGCGGCGAAGAACCACAAGTGAAGACCCCGATGAGAAGAGGCGCAAGTTCCTGGAGCGGAACAGGGCTGCAGCTTCTCGCTGTAGGCAGAAGAGAAAAGTGTGGGTCCAGTCTCTGGAGAAGAAGGCTGAAGACCTCAACTCTATGAATGGTCAGCTACAGGTAATCCCAACATCTTTGTCTCACCGTTTACAGAAAACAACCTGTCTTTAGTAGCATTTTTTTTATTTCCATGTCAGTTTGTGGATGTTTGCTTGCCTCTATTTATTATTAAGTAATTTTAGTGTGAACATGTTTTCACACTTTTCCCTTCTGTGGTGATGAAGTCATTAAAGCCGATTAAGAAGAGCTGCCGTATGACAGCAGCAGAGTGTGAGCCCTTTACATCGATATGTCCCTGTCAATAAAGATGTATCCTCCAGATGTCAGCCGCACACAAGCGTGTCGTCGCTTCTGTCTCAGCAGTTTACTGAATGGCCTCAAAAATCTCCGAGGGAAAGGTGTCTTTTTGAACCTTCATTTCGCAAGAAGCAATTAGGATCTGATGCTGACAAGTTCGAAACAGTTCATGTGTCTGCTGTCTCTGTTGATAAGTGTGAGCCGGGGGTGCGGCACATCGGTGTTCCAGACAATTAAATGAGATGTGGTGTTTACTTGCTAACCGTATTTTTTTTTTTTTTTTTTTTTTTTTTTTTTTTTTTTTTTTTTTTTTTTTTTTTTTTGATGAGAGCAGAGTAAGATGCGGAAAATGGAGGAGGGGATACACAGCGGAGTGAAATAATAATAAATGGGTTCATGATCATATCTGGTTTAAAATCTAGTTATCACCACTTGTTATGGCTGCGCTAGTTACAGTTTTTATTTAAACAAAGGCAGACAAGAAGGGGAGGATAGGTGAGTGAATCGGGTTATAAATAGAAAAATAATCGCAGTTAAACTACAAAGAGGCGAACAACATGTGGTAAAGAATAAAAGGGCGCTTTATATGAGGGCATTAATCAGCAGAGCAGTTTTTGTAAAAACCCCCATGCTGACATGGCCCAGCTGATCAGCGAAACTGCCTCTAATGATGCACAATTATTTTAACATCATCCTTAACTGGCTTTTTAATGAGGTGTCAGTCCAGACAGCTCACAGGGCTTCTAGCATCACCCAAGGCCCATTTTCTCAGCTTCGATTAACTTGGAAACAAGTTTTAACTCTAAATGGTCCAGATTAGTTTGTCCTAAATTAAAGGTATGATGCAGTTTAAAGAGATGGTTGCTGAAATGTCAGATGGCAGATCTGCTGTCTGCTTTGGATGCCACTTTTTGGGCAAATGTTTATGTCCATAATAAATGGCAGAGAGCATTTTAAAAGAACGCCTGTGTTTATATTGGTTTTAAATGGCAGCAGTCATGCTGGAAGCACAGTAAATACGGTGTTGGCTTCGTGTGATACATATGCTCCTTCCAGCTGTGTTTAAATCTGGCTTACAATAGCTCAGCCCTGCCAACACCAGCAAAACTAAACAGATGGAATCAAATAAATTGGCTGCTTTTAGACTAATAGATTAAGCCACCCGTAGTCCTTTAAAGAAGGATAGAAGGAGCTTAAATCTGCCATTGGGTGTTTCGCGGGCCCCGGGCCGCTCTAAATCCAGTTAAAGTCACCTTCAGCGTAATGTGGCTCTCTTTTACGACATGCAGAAATCCTTAGCTCTCTTGGGAGCTGTAACGACACAGGAGTGTAAATCTCAGCAACATCTACGAAGTCGTACTGACAACCCGAGCAGCTCACCTCAGACAAATGCTCTGGTTGGTAGCCAGTGAAGGGCCATAATTATTTTGCAGGAAAGAGTGTGTTTTACTTTATCCTGAAATAATATATTGTTCGTTTCTTATGAGAGAAAATGTATTTTTTCGGCTGTAATGTACTATTCTAAAAATACAAATGGGTTCCTATAAGTTTAACCCCAAAATCCCATTATTGGCTTTAGAATAAATAATGGATCAGTTCATCTAGAGAAGACACAAAGCCACATTCAAATTGTTATTATTATTATTATTATTTACAGATTGTATGAACATTTAGATTTTATTTGTGTTAATATGAATGGTATACAGTGACATCTAGTGGTAAAAGTAGCAAATTGCAACAAAATTAATCCTGTGCAACTGTGTGCTAAATGCTTAAAAACTGTTCTGAAAATACATCAGTCTTAATACATTTAGCCTTGAATTTCTTCAAAAGAAAGAATACATCTGTCATTAAGTGTGACAATTGCTTGACTCTGATTTATAGAGTGTGGAAATATCTTTTCTGAAGAGTGACGTTTTGTTTGTTTCTTTCGGCGGAATGTCTCGTCTTTCCTCAAGAATGAAGTCACCCTGCTGAGAAACGAAGTGGCTCAGCTGAAGCAGCTTCTTCTGGCTCATAAAGATTGCCCCGTAACCGCCATGCAGAAGAAGTCTGGCTATCACAGTGAGTAATGCTCCATTATTCTCTGCCCGAGGCTTCGAATCAAACTTGTCTAAAATAGGCTCAAGTTAAGGACACGTCTTGCTTGAGGCCAAGCAGAAATAAACTTTAGATATGCTGGGTTCTTTTTCTTTTTCTCTAAAACTTAGTAGAACTTCAAACGTGTGTGGGTAAACGTATTTTGTCTTGATGCCAGTGTTGTTTCACTTCTCTAAGAGGCCACAGCTGGCATACGAAACATTTTGTCTCATTTGATATCTAGATCAACATTTGTTACATGAAGTTAAATGTCTGCTGTACTCTCCAAGAAGGACAGCCATAAACTCTGTTCTTAATGACTTTCTTAAGCACAATTGATTATTCTTCATATTTATTCATAGTAATTTATATAATTGTTTTTATTTTAATGTAGTCAGCTTACAGTGATAATCTTTACAAATTCTGCCATTTGGAGCCTCTTAATCTAAATTTCTTGTTGTCTGCCTGGTCTGCAGAGTGCCATCACATGGTCTCATTTAGAATCATACGACCTATTTTTCTTCGTTTTCCTCAGACCGAGGCTCTGTCATTTTGATTTTGTGGTCATAACTCACCAGAATGCACCACACCACTTCCACACTGTCCTCTAAACACCTCGCCTGACTTGTATTGACAGTGATTGCCACTGGAATGAGTCCATTAAAGCAGCAGTCTTGACAAGACTGCAGAATATTCTCATTGTGAAGTGTCCGCCAAGCCATACCGTTCATTATGCATCTCTTATTGCCTTCCGTCCCACAGACACAGTTCCCTGTGCATTATGGGACTGATGGTTCCCAGGCTGGAGCGTGCTGTCAGAGGCAGAGCTCATTTAGTTCAGTGCAGATGTTTTTTAACAGGATCCATAGATGAATATGGTCATTTCCCCTCATATGTTTGCTCAAAATGTGTGCTGTCTCTTTCTGTAACTTTGTGAAAGATGACACTTGAAGAACTTTTTCCTTCTCGCTTTGAAAAATAGAACCTCATCCAAGCATCTCAGTTGATGTGTTTAAAATGGGAGGTTTTCTAAAAAGATGGACAGAAGACCAGTATATGTGAGAGTGAGGAAAGAAGAAACATTCGATTTTCAATGTGATTGTCATACAAAACCTTGGAGGAACTGATTGAAAACAGGATGTTTAAAGATTGCTGTTTTATTAAAATTCAAACAGTTGTATTTGTTTTCTAAAACTGAAAAGAAAAGCTCAGAGTTTTCAAAGTGGAAACGTTATGAACAATTAATATCTTACCTGCTGTAGATGTCGTTTTCAACAACCTCAGTTTGGGTAAAACATAGTGCTGGGCGGTATACCATTTTGTACCAAATACCGGTTTTTATTTTTGTTATGATATAAATTTTTTGAATACCGGACATTCCGGTTTAAATAGCGGAACGTTTTGTCGCGGCCGCCAGTGAACTGTTGTTTCCCGGGGGACATTTTTCCTTGCTGCACCGCTGTGTGCGTTAGCATGCTAATGTTTGGAGCAGCTAGTTACAGACACGGGTGGCGATTCCGCTGCTTATATTGACTGATGTTTAAAAAAACATCCCGTTTTCGCCGTCGCTGAATGTAGTAAACACCTCTTCAGTGACGTGCACAGTTATGCTGATGGAGACTTAACGTGGTTCTATTGTGAAAAGCCTGCGGGAAATAGTTCGTAGTGGAGTTGGAATTGACTGGTGTGCAAGGTGAGTCGTGCTGATAAGCTTTAATAAATAACATAAAACAATAAACCCGATCATAATCTTTTCTTAACCCTCTTCCTTCACGACTGGACCAAAATGCGTGATTACTGTCTGCAACCACCAGTCAGAGAAGAACAGACACAGAGGAGGGAAACAGCGACACAGACAGAGGTACAGTAAAAGAAAAAAGTCAATAAGCAGGGTTTGTACATTTTATTATCAGCTGAGCTGTGATGAAAAGAAAAATACCGTCAAATACCGTGAAACCGGTGAAAATGTTGAAAATACCGTGATAAAACATTTTGATCATATCGCCGAGCTCTAGTAAAATGTTTCATTTTGACTGGCTTGACAAGCTAGCTACTAGGGCTTAGGTAAAAGGGAGTTTCATGTTTTAAAACAACTCTAGTCTAAAAAAAAATCATAGTGATTTATTTTATTATTTATCTTTTTTTTTATTTTATAAATATGCCACTTTCAGTTTCATGTTTCAGAGTTACCTACACAGAGGTTTATGATTATTTTCAAGCATAAATAGCAACATCAGCTGTTAGCTGTAGCACTTCCAGTGCATTCTGGGCCATTTCTGACAAAGGTGACAGATTGYTTTACTAAATGTAATCTGAAATTATTTGCAGTTTTAAGTTGTTTTAAGTAAGTCTTGGCTCCACTTTGATTAGCTGTTAAGTTGTCAGTCTGTTCAGAATTAAACCTTCTTTTCAATTTCTCTCTCTCTCTCTTTAAAATGTATCTTACTCCCACCCGTGAAAAGATAACTCTGGTCAGAACCTTGAGCTCCAGCTCCAGCAGCCTCGGCTGAGCTGTCCGCCTCAAACCACACCAGCACCGGACGGAGGAGGTGGAGCGCTCCGCGACAGCCTGACAGAAAAAAATAAAAACATACAGCTGCAGCTGCTCACAAGATGCTAGTTTAAATCAGGAATAAAAGTGTTGGGTCTTGTTTGGTCCGTTAGGGCTGCAGCTGCCCCCTTGTGTTTCTGCCTTTTTTTTTCCCCCTCCTCCCCTCCCGCTGTGCAGGACGTACTGCTGGTGTGTGTGTGTGTGTGTGTGTGTGTGTGT